ACACCAGAACTCCCCCTATGGGATTGCCTAAGGCTAGAGCAACTGTCCCCAGCACCCCAGTTCACTCTCCAATGACTTTGCACAGAAATCTGAGTCATCTCAAAAATGCACCGCCAGGAGGAGCAGAAGTGTGTGTGTGTGTGTGTGTGTGTGTGTGTGTGTGTGTGAGAGAGAGAGAGAGAGAGAGAGAGAGAGAGAGAGAGGGTTTCTCTGTGTAGTCTTAGATGTCCTGAAACTCCCTGTGTAGACCAGGCTAGCCTCGAACTCACAGAGATCGCCTGTCTCTGTGCCCCATGACCCAGTGCTGGGATTAAAGGCATGTGCCACCACCACAGCCTAGCTCCTATGTACATTTTAACAACACACATGTATGAACCACACATGGTGATCTGAAAGGTTTCATGACAGAATTCATAAAATGTATTGAAGAATCGCAACAAGCACACATAAAGAGCTGTGCATTAAACCACAATCAGAGCTGAGTGCAGAGGGTGTGTCGTCCTTGTCATTTGGCTACTCGTTTATTACTATTATTAGGCCATAGTAGGCTTATTTACTTTTCTTTCCTCATCTTCCCCCAAACTTCCCTTTGGCAATGTTTCTGCACCATGGCTCCATCACTGTTAAAAAATTTAAAAAGTTAAAAAGTGTTAAACAGTTTTTTTAAAAAAAAAAAAAAAGAAAAGAAAAGAAAAGAAAAGAAAGAAAGAAAATTAGTATTAGATGATGCCTACATCCTGACTGCCCCCTAGTGGAATTTTTGAGTATTAGTGTATCAGTAATTGTTTTATTTTCAGCAAAATAGTATAAAATATGGCCACATCAAATTCTGGGCTACTGTTCCCCAAAGTGTGAAACTCTGGAGTTCATTTTGGTCTTCGTAAAAGTGAGAGCTTCTATAACCTTGGGAGATCGCTTAGTGCGGCGGCCCTCAACCTTGCTATGCTCGGCTGTTAATACAGTTCCTCATGTACTGATCCCAACCATAAAATTTTTTCCATTGCTACTTTGTAACTGTAATTTTGCTACTGTTATGAACTGTAATGTAAATATCTTATATGTGACCCAAAGGTTGAGAACCACTGGTTTAGTGTGTAAATCGTTTGTCCTGAAAATATAATAGCCAGAATTCAAATTCCTAGAACCCATGTGGAAGATAGGTATGGCAGTAAATCTGCCACACTAATACTTCTTTAGCAAGACGGGAGACCAGGATGGGAAAATCTCAGATATTATCAGGACATCCAGAAAGACTGGGGCTTGCCTTAGTGAACAAAAACTATCTCAAACATAGCCGGAGGCCAGGACTAATGCCTGAGGCCCTTCTGCTCTCCACGTGTATGCTATCCTGTATAGTCCATCCAAATGCATGTTTGAACAGTAAGTAACACATGTATGCACACACACAAATTAAAAAACAAAAGTCAAGTGGTTCCCTTTTCCCTACCTATGTGTGGGAACACATACCCACTGTAATTTATGGTTGATTGGTTCAAATAATCCTAAAAAAAAAAGACTTCTATTATATAAATGCAGTGTTTTGTTTTTTTTTTTCTTTTCAGAGACAGGTTTCTGTATGTAGTTTTGGAGTGTGTCCTGGAACTCACTCTGTAGACCAGGCTGACTTTGAACTCGAGATCCACCTGCTTCTGCCTCCCTAGTGCTGGGATTAAAGGCGTAAGCTACCACTGCCTGGCTAAATACTTGTGTCCAGTATTTTTAACCTTTTGCCTTTGTTCTAAGAGAAATAAGATGAGGCTTCCTGCACATGGGGTGGGAAACGCCCATGTAAAGAGGTTAGGAATACAGCTTCAAAGGTCATCTTAAAGAGCTGGAGAGACTCCATGGTTAAGTGAAGACTGCTAATTCTCAGCAACCACAAGACTGCTTGCAACCAGCTGTAACTCAATCCCAGGAGATACAACACCTCCTCTGGCATCCATGGTGTTATGAATTTAGCCACAATAAGACTGACACTTCCGGGTTCTAGGGTCATGAATGTGCGGACAAGCCCTCAGGTAGAAGTGCCTAATAGCCCCGGGGATGACTCAGCTAAGCCCTTGAGCGCATGCGTGAGCCCCATTATCTGAGTATGACATAGTCGCACCATCCCCCTGGGCAGCCCTTAAAAGCTGGAGATGCCATCTTTAGCCCTCTCTCTCTCTCTCTCTCTTTGCACCCTGACTTCCCCAGGCCTGTACACGCCCCCTCTAATAAACTCATAAGTGGTTTGTTGAGTGTTGCGTGTTTCCTTCTCACTCACGCCAGGTAATTTCATTGGTGCTGTGAGACTCGGGAGGCTCTCCCGCCCCGAGCCCCTCTCCCTGGGTCAGGATCTGGAACTGGATATTTTTTCCACAACAACCACATGTTCCATCTCCCTGAGTGTGATTTCTATGCACACCACCGGCTTCAGTTGGTGAGTTTTCCCCATTCTGGTCAGTTTAACCATTTCTCTGAACCTGAGGAATTGACTGTTTAGCTCCCAGAAATCTTCTGGTGTTCCTAGAAACAGGAGAGGGGGACAGCCCCCAACCATGGCCTTCACAGCTATGGTTGAGGCATTCACCTCTGGATTGCTTCCATTAGCTAAAATCATGTTTGGATGACCCGGGGTCAGTCCTCCCGCGACTGGGGCCCAGAATCTCTCAGATTTTTCTTTTCTTTTTAAGTATTTATTTATTTATTATGTATACATTGCTTTGTCTGCATATGTGCCTGTAGGCAAGAAGAGGGCACCAGATCTCATTACAGATGGTTAAGAACCACCACGTGATTGCTGGGAATTGAACTCAGGACCTCTGGAAGAGCAGTCAGTACTCTTAACCTCTGAGGCATCATTCCAGCCCTGACTCTCAGATTTTTCTTTCTCCTTTTTTTCTATTCTTTTTTCTTTTGGATCTCTCATCAGTGATCCCCACTGTGGCCTCTCTGGCTTCCGAGTCACCCCAACCAGAGCCTGTCAGACTTTAACACCCCGCCTGTGGGTAGAGGATGCTCTCCTACAAGCTCTGTGGTGTTTGCCGCCATTTCACACCCTGCCTATAGAGGGGAGATGGTGTGGCGACAGACTGCCCGATCTGTGCTGTCCATGCTGCTCCCTTGCTCTCTGGGGCTTGAGAGCCACCAGGCCTGTGTTTCAAGTGTGGTAGAGCTGGTCACTGGGCCCAAGCATTCTCTAATCCTCATCTTGGTCCTGCGAGGCCTTGTCCAAGATGCCACAAGGAAGGACATTGGGCAGTTGATTATCCTTGTGCACATCATGGCATGGAGTTTGATAACCCAGAAAATTTCCAAGTTGACCTTCTAGGTCTGGCCATGGACGAGTGAGGCTGCCTGGGCTCCTTTGACTTGACCACAACTGTCATCTGTAACAGGAAGCCATGGGTAAACATCACGGTATCAGGACGGCCCATCTCCTTTCTCTTGGACACTGGAGCCACATACTCAATTCTGGAGGCCTACCTCTCCTTCTAATTTTCCTATTGTCAGGGTAGGGAGATAGCCTTATCTACCTCAGCAGACCCCACCACTTAACTGTGTTTTTAGGGGTATTTATCTCACTCATTCATTTTTAGTCATGCTGACCTGCCCGGTACCTCTTATGGGTGCCAGATGATGATGTAAGTCACAAAACAACCCCACACCAGTTCAGAATTATGAATACTAGAAGGGTTGTTTATTTAAGGGGAAAACTTACAGATCACTGTCCTAGACAACAGTCCTCTGTGCAAACAGGAACAGAGTCTAGCAGCCTGATGTGGGAGCTGAAAGCAAGAGAGTGGGGACACATTTACTGCTGCTTTTACAGTATAAGAGACCATGTCCATCTGGGCTGGTATCTTAAAGGCTATTGGCTGAAGGAGCAGAATGTGCTCCCACAGCACCAGAGGACACCAAGATCAGTCACTTTTCCTCCAGTTTCAGAAAAATAAGTTTTCTCACTGTACTCAACCCTCCCTTGTCAAAAACTCCATATACTCTCTCTCTTCCTCTTATCTGTTTACCAACTTCTTTATATCTCCAATGTCATACTTAAATTTCCAGATTAACCACTCAGCTGTTGTTACAGGGACCATCATTAAACATAGAGCCAGAGGTACAAGGACTGCCAAAAGCCCAGGTGGTAAGAAACAATAACAAGTTTGGGGACATTTGCTGCAGGAGCTCTTTCTGCCAGGAGGCTAGAATCTCAGAAAGATAAGAAATGGGCTGGGTCCAGCTGTCAAAGCCGCGACTTTAATCCTTCCCATATTGCTTAGCAAATTAAAGACTCATGTGGTCAGAAAAAGAGAGAGATATACAGTAAAGAGAGATTCAAAGATGAAAAAAAAAACCCTCTAAATGGTTTACTATATGTTTAAAAATATATGCAGGCTTGGGAGTGAAAAGAAAAAGGTTAAAAAGTCTTTAAAAAAAGAGAGTAGTTGGGTATGGTAGCACACACCTTTAATTCCAAAGCTTGGAAGACAGAGGCAGGCAGACCTCTGTGAGTTCAAGGCATGATGGCACACACCTTTAATCCCAGCACTTGGGAGGCAGAGACAGGGTGGATCTCTGTGAGCTCAAGGACAGCCTGGTTAACAGAGTGAGTTCCAGGTCAAAGATACACAGAAACTCTGTCTTAAAAAGACAAAAATTAAAAGTGAAAATAAAAGAAAGAGGTTAAAATAAAGCCACGTAAAGATGAAAAATACATAGAAAGTCTGGATATTGTATGTTATTATGCTCTCTTTGAATTGTTTGAATGCTGAGGAAGGAGCAACAGCTGCTAAAAGATATTTGCTTATAAATGCTGCTGAATTAATCCAAGAAAGGTATTTTGAAAATAACTTGACTTCAAAATAAAAGTCAAAAGATATGTTACTTTGGAGAAGAGGGTTTGCTTTTGTTTCCACAGGAAATGAGAGGCTGTGGATTCATTCTGAGTTAAGAAAAATCAGGTTTGGGGGCTGGAGAGATGGCTCAGTGGTTAAGACCATTGCCTGCTCTTCCAAAGGTCCTGAGTTCAATTCCCAGCAACCACATGGTGGCTCACAACCATCTGTTGTAGAGAGCTGCGTGGCGCCGCGCCTTTAAGATGGCTCCGGCTGCCACCCTCCGCGAGCCCGAAAGTGAGCGCTCTCTGTGACAAACAACTCCTTTTATGGTTATGGCCCATAACTCGCTATGATCGTGTGTCGCTTGCATATGTTTGAGCCTATGGGCAATGTCCACGTGGCACTCCGGGATAGGTGACCATAGGCTATATAAGGGCTGGGAGAGGTCTGCCCAGGGAGAGAAATGAGAGAGAAGCCATTGTTCAAGGTCCTGAATAAACTGCCTGCGAGAAGAGCTCCGGTGTCGCGTCATCCTTGCTGGTTTGAGGTGGTCACGGCAAGTGGTGGCCTGTACGGGGAAGAAGCCACTTCCTCTCCCTGAAGTCCAGAACTTGCAGCAGTCAGGGGGTGCACCGGAAAAGTCCTCAAGGTAAGATTGGGGATCTGCGACCAAAGCAGGGTTTAGTGACTGCGACCAAAGCAGGGTTTAGTGACTACGACCAAAGCAGGGTTAGTGACTGTGACCAACGTAGGGTTTAGTGACCGTGTCAAGAACGGGGTTGAAGTTCCGCACAAAAGCGGATAGTCTAGGTAGAGAGTGAGCAGGTGGAGTTAACAGAACAGTGAAAGAAAAAGCGAAAGTAAGATCGGAGCTGCAGGCTGTAAAGCCAGGAGTAAGAGCAGCGAGAAACCAAAAGTACGAGGGTTCACAAGCTGTCAGACCTAAGCGGTTTTGCAAGCTGTCAAACCGAAGCTGTCAAACTGCATGTGGCTTCGGAAGCTGTCAAACTGAGAGTAGCGAGTCCGCAGGTAGACAAATCGAAAGAGAAGAAAAGAAGGGAGATAGTTCGATTATGGGCGCTTCGTCTTCGCATCCAATTTTCTTAGCTCTCAATGAGCTGTTATGAGCAACATTTTAATTAAAGCCAAGAGAAAGGAGATAATCTTGGGCCTTAATGCAAAATCAAATGAAACCAGTCCCATCAAAGACCTTGCCTAAATAATTGATTATCTTTAGATATGTGTCTTAGGTGCCTTGCAGCCTTAGGTGTCTGGTTATAGAAAAAATGGTATTTTTTGTTAATTTCCTTCTGATCCAAAAAAAAAAAACAACAGAGATGACTCATCACTATATAATAATATTAGAGCTCCACAAAAAACTAAATTCTTAGATAAAGTAAATGATGGGAATATATGCTTAATTTTTACATAAAACTATAAATAGTTCAATAAATAATTCCATACAAATGCATATAAATACCTTACTAAGAAAACAGACCACATTTATAATGTTTATATAACCTCATTAGAATATGACTATGTGCCCTAGTTATGAAAAATTGTTAAAATTACACAAAGCAACCAAATTATACCAAGATGGTAAAATGATTTCTCATTACTCTTAAAGACTGTACAACATTTTGGCCATATGATACAAGTCAAGTTAAAACATTATGTGCGCCCATAGATGACTGGGCCATCTTGCGTTGCTCTTATTCCGGATACATTGATTGTCCTTTTTCCAAGCATCCTCTCCTGTCATTCTTTAAAGAACACCCTGTAATTTTCCCTAAAATAACTGCTACGGAGCCTATATCAGGGGCCAGTGTTATATTTACAGATGAATCCAAAAACGGTTGTGGAGTCTACATGGTGGATTCTGCAGAGCCTGTTACACACCATTTTTTCCCCAGAATAGTAGTAGAGGTCTTTAAGGGCTGTTCCTTTGCATATAATTTGATTTCTGATTCGGCTTATGTAGTTAATGCTTTAAAGCATCTTGGATGTGCTGGACCTTTAAAAACATCAAGTTCAGTACATGCATTATTTGTCCAACTACAGTGCCTTTTATGGCAGAGAAAACATCCCTTTTTTGTGCAACATGTTTGAGCACATACAGGTTTGCCAGGCCCTCTAGCTGCTGGCAATGACAAGGTTGATCAGTGTACCAGACAAGAATGGATGTTTCTTGCCACTGCCCTGCAGAGGGCTCATGACTTTCATAAAGAGTTTCATGTTAACGCCAAAACACTACAACAAAAATTTGCCATTTCACATGCCGATGCACGCAAGGTGGTTGTGGATTGTCCACAATGTGTCATATATCATCATCCTCAAACTTTGGGGGTCAACCCACGTGGATTGCTCCCCCTTAAACTGTGGCAAATGGATGTTACTCATATTTCAGAATTTGGCAAACTGAAGTATGTACATGTTTCTGTGGATACTTATTCTGGTATCATGTATGCCACTCCCAAGACAGGGGAAAAGGCAAACAATGTGATTACCCACTGTTTAGAAGCATGGGCAGCATGGGGCAAGCCCCAACAGCTAAAAACAGATAAATGCCCTGCCTATACTGGTAAACAGTTTACATCGTTTTGCCAACGTATGGGTGTTCACCTTGTACATGGACTGCCTTATAATCCACAAGGCCAAGGCATTGTGGAGCATGCCCACCGCTCCTTAAAAGAAATGCTTCAAAAACAAAAAGGGGGAATTGGCTTAGAACAATCCCCTAAGAATAGACTTTCTTTGGCCTTATTTACCTTGAAGTTTTTAAATTTGGATAATTCCAACCAATCTTCAGCGGACAGACATGCTTGTTCAAATAGCCAACCTAAAGGTCTAGTGAAGTGGAAGGACATTTTGACAGGGGTCTGGTATGGCCCTGATCCTGTGCTGGCATGGGCACGATTTTCTGTTTGTGTTTTTCCACAGGATCATTTGGACCCTATTTGGGTACCGGAGCGCTTGGTGAGAAAAGTACAGGTGCAGAGGAATGAGAAGCAAGATGAAGCCTCAGACTGTGATCCTACTGATGGTGATGGTCCTGATGTCCCCGTTGTTGATCCAGGCCAATGAACAAATCTTGTGGGCCATAGCAAAAGCAAGGCCAATTCCTATACCTGTTCATTCTATGTCAAAAGTTTTAAAATACTTGGCCCTGGTTTCAATGGATTCTTTCTAATGAAAAAGGGGCCTTTTCATCCCTAGAGCCTTTTGTTGCCCTTTGTAATTTGACTTTTCGGCTACTTAACATCTCTGCCAGCAGAGATACGAAGGGCGTTCTTTCAAATGTTACTGTATGACTAATATTACCAATGCCACAGAGGATGTGATCTATTGTAATTCCTCTAAGGCAACTTGCCTCGCAAGTCAATACTGGGATGGTAATTATAACACAGCTGTGGTGATGAGAGTTCCCACATATGTTCCCATCCCAGTCAGAGTTAATACCGGTACCTTTCTAATCGCTCATTTGCTCAGAACAAAACGAGACTTTGGGATAACAACAGCCCTAGTCTCTGCAATTGCTGTATCTGCTGAGCTGTCATGACAGCTGCTGTTGCCATGGCTGCAACAACTCAGATTGCAGAGACAGTTAATGAAATTGTGGAAAGAACAGCCTCCACAATGACTACTTTGAAATCCATCGATGGTCACTTAAAAGCTGGCATTTTGACAGTAAACCAAAGAGTAAACCTCTTGCAAGAGCAACTAGATGACCTAGTAACTTTAACCAGTGTAGGATGTATTCATTCCCTCTCCTCCTTGTGTATTACTTCCAGATTGGCTGAGAACTTTACGAAGAACGGTAACCTGAGCCGGCAGCTGAGCACGTACCTCCAGGGAAACTGGAGCAAGGAGTTCGAGAACTTGACAGACACCTTGATCAACCAGATTATTTTCCTGAATGCCACACGGCAGGAGTTATCTACTGCTGATGCTTTTCTTAACATACTGAAACGAACTTTTAGTTACTTTAAGGAGTGGGTGGGAATAGGAGCCCTGACAGGCCTAATGGTGCTTGCCTCCTTGGTGTGTCTGTGGTACATATGTTGCATACAGACCTCACAGCGTCACAACGCAGCTATGATCATACAGGTTTTTACGGCCATTGAAGCAGGACAGTCTCCCCAAATATGGCTAGCTACGTTAAAAGATTGTTGACACAGGTTGCGAGGCTTGTGCACTGCACTTGAGAGCTTGTAATGTTGATCTCAAGAAGAGCAAGTGTGATTGCATGTGGGTTGGTGCCTGATCTCCCACCTCTGTGCAAAAGGCACCGGGCGGATCTGGCATTTCTCTGGGTGGACAGCACCTGGCTAGACATCAGTATATTGTTCCTAATTTTTTGACAGAGATCAGACCCCTACTCTTACCTATTGTTTGTGTGAAAACAAAAAAGGGGGAACTGTAGAGAGCTGCATGGAGCCGCGCCTTTAAGATGGCACCCTCTGCGAGCCCAAAGGCGAGTGTTCTCTGTGACAAACAACTCCTTTTATGGTTATGGCCCATAACTCGCTATGATCGTGTGTCGCTTGCGTATGCTTGAGCCTATAGACGATGTCCACATGGCACTCCGGGATAGGCAACTATAGGCTATATAAGGGCTGGGAGAGGTCTGCTTGGGGAGAGAAATGAGAGAGAAGCCATTGTTCAAGGTCCTGAATAAACTGCCTGCGAGAAGAGCTCCGGTGTCGCGTCGTCCTTGCTGGTTCGAGGCGGTCGCGGCAATCTGTAATGAGGCCTGGTGCCCTCTTCTGGCCTGCAGACAGAATGCTGTATACATAATAAATAAATAAATATTTTTAAAAAAAAAGAAAAGAAAAATCGGATTTGATCAAGGAAGATCACCTGAGAAATCTCCGGTAGGAACAGATGGCCCGGATGTCTGAGTTCTACATCCAGAACAGATTCAAGACTGCTGCCTGAGATGATCAAGACTCACAGGATACTCCAGTCAGGACTTGATCATACTTCTAAATTTTCTTTAAGTCCCCATAAGATTATCAGCACCCCCAACCAGCAGAAAGTAGCCTGGAAAACTATGCCTACATTCCCAAAAAAGGACTATGGATGTTGTTGTTGTTTTTAAATAGAAGGGGCAGTGCTATGGGACAATTGTCTATATTCTGTCAATTGTTTTAAATAAATGCTAATTGACCAGTAACTAGGCAGGAAGTATAGGTGAGACAACCAGACAGGAAGCAGAGGCGGGTCAATGAGAACAGGAGAATTTTGGGAAAAGGGAAGCTCCCTCTGCAGTCCTATCCAGACACAGAAGAAGCAAGATGTGACTACGCCGCTGAAAAAGGTACCGAGCCATGAGGCTGGCATAGACAAGAATAATGGGCTAATATAAGTTATAAGAGTTAATAGGAAGTCTGAGCTAATGGGCCAATCAGTTTATAACTAATGTAGACCTCTGTGTAATTTCTTTGGAACTTAACAACTGCAGGACAGAAAAACCTCGCCAACAGACATTCATAGACTCCAAAAACTCACAAAACAGACTTTAACATAACAGGTTTATCACTGACTGCAGCAGTGTCTCCTGGATGTTCAGGTAATGCCATGATGCTAAAGAGAACAAGTGCCTTAAGATTTGCTTCAGGTAAAACATTGAGGGGTCTAATAATTTCCCTTTCCCATAATTTCCCCTTCTTTTCCTCCCTCCTCCCCACTCTCTTCCATTCCAACACTCTATCATTGCAATCATAAGCTTTTAATATGTCTAAAATTTATTTCTTTTCAAACATTTTTTCATAAGCTCCAGGGAACCAATTGGACCCATCTAAATGGACCAGACTCACCCAGAATAAGTATCATTTAATTCTTTCCTTATTATTCCTGGTCTTGGGAACCCCTGGGAAATCCCCTCCTCCATCCCCCCTCCCCCCAAAAAACTCTCTATCTACCATCTTGGGACTCTCTTCCCTTAATCACCAGGATCTAAAAATTTTTCCAGACATAATTTTCTGCCTTTCCAGCATCTTGTGAGGTCTAAGCTGCCAGATAGCCAGTTCCAGAGCCTGGAAAAAACACAAAAGTAATCAGCCACCCCAGGACATGGTCAAGCATCTCAACTCTCCAATGCCCACAAAATCAGCAGGAAGCAGTTACAAGAGACCTTATGATGCACCATTCCCACCCATTAAAGACCCCAAACTCCCCAAAGTTTTAAAATAAAAGGGTGAAATGTAATGATTTCTGCCATAACAAGGCTGACATTTCCAGGTTCTAGGGCCATGCATGTGTGAACAAGCTCTCAGGCAGAAGTGCCTAATGACCCCAGGGATATTAAAGGACCTCGTGTGACCAACGCGTGCATGCATGGTTGCATCATCCACATATGACTCAGCTAAGCCCATTCGTGCATGCATGAGCCCCGTCATCTGCGTATGAGGTAGTCATGCCATCCCCCTGTGCACATGTGTTAGGTGTCCCTTAAAAGCTGGAGACACCATCTTCAGCCCTCTCTCTCTCTGCACACTGACTTCCCCAGGCCTGTACAGGCCCCCTCTAAGAAACTCTTAAGTGGGTTTGTTGCGTGTTCTCTGTCCCTCTCACTAGCGCCAGGTGATTCACATGGATTCTGCATGCAGGTGGTACAGACACTTGCAGACAGAGCACCAGTAAAAAAAAAAAACATAAAAAAAATCCAAACAAAAACAGACCACGTTAAGACTACTGCTACAGTTATGGCAGAAAGTCACACAGAGCCCCATTATGTGGCAGAGGGCAAGTGAGGTCCACATAACTCCTGTCTGGGTACAAGGCTAAGTAACACCTTCACCAACTTACTTATGGTTTTTCCTCCTAGCCTTCCCATTTTTACTGCTATGTCTGACCCATCCTTTCCTAAGAGCCAAAGTTATGTTTTAAGTTTTAATTACTATGCCTTAGAAATCCTTGAAAAAAAATGCCTTTAATCTGTAAGCCCCTTGCCTAAGAACAGATACTTCCTGAAATGCTGGAGGCTATTGTTTATAGGAGATGACAAGCCACGTGTTTTTACTACCCTTAACAAATCAGTTTGACCCATCTACACCAGACATGCTTGATCACATGTGGGCAGGCAGGAAAGATGTCAGGATATATGCTTGCCCCTGATTGGATCTGATGGGAAATGCAATGAGTTATGGATTTTCTTTTATCTTTTATAGTTTTTCGAGACAGGGTTTCTCAGTGGTCCTGGAACTTGCTCTGTAGCTCAGGCTGGCCTTGAACTTACATAGACTGGCATGCCTCTGCCTCCTGAGTGCTGGGATTAAAGGCACCACCGCCCATTTTTTTGTTTTGTTTTTATTGCACTATACATTTTTCTCTGCTCCCCTTCCTTCCTTCCCTCTCCTATGACCCCCACACTCCCAATTCACTCAGGAGAATTTGCCTTTTTCTCTTTCCTACTTAGATCCATGTGTGTCCTTGTTGTCTAGGTTCTCTGGGGTTGTGGATTGTAAGCTTGGTATGTAAAAGATTTTTTAAAAAAATAAAAAAATTCAGTTACTGCTAACAGTTTGCTTTTAAATTTCATGTGAACACTCATATATGTACATATATAGGTACATGTATGTTCATATATATATAAATATAAGAATACTATAAATATTTTACAACATTTTTGTTCTTTAAGTGAGTCACATGTAGCTTATGCTAATTTTGAAGTCACTTGCAGTGAGACTGGCTTCATTTCCTTATCCTCATAACGCCACCACATCCAACTATGTAATACAGTTTTTTTTTTTTGCCATACTACATGGAGGTATTCCTAAATACCTAAACATGGGCTTTTCCCCTAAGTAACTATAAATTTCACACATAACAAAATTAGCAATTTTGCATCAAACAAGAGTGAACCCATGCTGTAAACCCATCTCTGGCCTCCATCTTTAGAGGCCCTGTCCCTGTGCCCACCAAGCCTTGACCCCCTCCCTGGAGGAGGGTCAAGACCAGCCAGCCAAAATCTTGACCATGTCCTCAGTCTATTTAAACTGCTTCCCTGGAAAGCTTCCTTGTGATCTCTTTTCCTTCCCCCTGGTGGTTGCATTAGCAGCCTCCCAATTCCCCCTCGGGGCCACCCAAGAGC